CAAATTATTCATTTCCGTCATCTTCGTAGCCAATCACAATCCTTATCTTTCCATTTATTATAATTGTAATTAAGTGCTAGTTGCTAAAACAAAGCCAACCTGAAGTTTTTATTTTTTGCTTCTTTGGTGCATTTTTAGTCTTAAGCCAGATTATCGCATTAGCTCTGAGCTTTCGTGTTAATTAGTCACCAACCCCAGCCAACCAGTCCTTCTCACTTTTTTTTTTTTTTTTTTAATCACGGTGTGGTGGTATTTTAATTATTAAATGTTTGTTTTATTATGCGCCGCCTGCACCTCGGTTTATGGAACTTATCAGAAAGTTGAAACCACTTTGACCATTTTAAAAGGTCACAAGCCACTATTTCCAAAAAAATAAAATCACAAGCCACGCGCTTTTTTCCCGCACTTTTCTTAAATTATAGATGTGCTACCGCCTATCAAATCCCATTTGGGACATGTGGTAAGGAGTTTATGTCTAGGCGTCTAGGAGTGTTAACTGGTTGAGGTCAAGTTATGCTTTTAAAAATTAAGTTTATATTTAAATATGTCAATGTTTTAATTTGTTACTTGTTATGAATATAATTATCAGTTTATGACTTAGTTTATTTACAAAAGGTAAAAATCTAATTTAGCCTGTAAAAAGAAATAAGAAAACAAAAATTTATCTAAATAGAATATACGATAAGCAGCATTAATAATTTCATAAAAATTCATAAATTTAATATATATCCAAACAGCATAATATAAAATAAAATCATTTAAAAAAATCTGTTTAACCAATAAAATATGGTGAAATGGGTTGAGGAAAGAGAGAACTATTATGAGTAGTATAAAAAATAAAATAAAAATAAAAGTTAATTTATCTTAAAAAAAAGTAGTTATCTTCAACAAAAAAAACTAGTATGTTGGGCAGCCTAAAAGTCTCTAAAGTCGGACTTTTGAATTAGAGTCTTAGGCCTCGATCTGGATATTAATATGAGGCCTACATAAAAGAGGCCCACATTCAAAGTTTTCACCATTAAGCAAAGATTTGGTCAACAAAGGCTACTACCTCTTCTCTATCTTCCAAGTTCATCTCAGCAAGCTCCTCAATATTAAATACCACATCTTAACAAGCTACTTCTGAGTACTTCATCTCCAAGTATACTTCAGCACCAAGACATCTTTGCAAACGTTATCTCCCAGTCACCCACAAAAACCAATGAAAAGAGATGTATACTTTCACCATGAAGAAAGACATCTCCCAAGTTGGTCATCTCTACTATAAAAACATATGTATTTAACCCAAGGTACACATCTTCTTCCACATAATAAAACTTGCTTGAACCAAATTTGACTTGAGCGTTGGTGTGTCTTGCAGGTACACCCCCACCTTGTTTCATTGAAGACCCATGGGTTAAAGCTGCTCCGACTCAAGCCGGTTCCAGACCAATTGTATAGAGGAAGATCACATGGTCAGGCCAATTGTAAAATCGGTTATGATCAGGGTTTTTAGTAAACGAGATTTTATACAAGTCCAAGCCTGATTTCAATAATCAATTTTAGACATTTAAGCTTAGATCTTCACGAGTCGAGCCAAAGACTTTTAAAAGGCCCCCGGTTTGTTTAGCACCCCTACTTGTGTCCCTTAATCAGAGGTTTTGAATTCGAGCCTTACGAATGAAAAAAAATGGTCTTGGGAGAGCCCCCTGTTTTGGGTCCCACAATGCTTGAATCGGACTTGTCCAAAGAATGAACCAATTAAGGAGACTCAAAAAATTATATATGTAATTAGGGGTTTAAATGGGTTAGGTCAACTTACAGGAGCCTATAGCCTAGCCTATATTATGCCAGATTTGCCTATTACAAATAGTCAATAGAACAGACTTAGGCTTTTAAAAAAATCTATTTAGAAAACATGTCATAGGCTTTTTTGTACATTTCTAGCCTATAAGCATATAGGTCGACCTATATTATTTTATTTATTTTAAATAAAATAATAATTTTAATAATTTTGCATCATAAAGTAATATTATTTTAGTTATTTTTCTAATTATTGAATGTTTAATAGGTTTAAACAGACGGCCTAGACCAAAACTTTTATTTTTTAAATATAAGTCAGATCAGACTTGTAATTTGAGCCTATACAGGTTAACAGATCAAGTCAGACGTAATTTTTTTTTTTTTTTACACAAACTTAACTTATTTAAATTAAAGCTAACTTAATCTATTTACCCTCCGACTACTGATATATCTGCCTTCCCTCACAATGGAAATAGAATCAACCATAATATTCTATGGATTTATGCCCTTACAAATTAAGCCCAAACATCTGAAGTTTTGTCTGTACAAATTAACCTAATGCATATTAAGTGAGAGTGACTGACAGCCAGCCCTCAATTTTGTACGTGCCCATTTACTCGTGGGATCGATGAGTCTAATATTTCGGTTCATTTTGTTGTTTACCACAATAATAGTTATAGTTTAATGGTTTCTTCATCATAAAAATAATCTAGCCAGATGACAATCACTTTTGCGAACCGAGGAGATTCCTGATTCCTGATTCCTCCTTTAAAATATTGATACGGCTAGATTCCTCCAAATAAATACAATATCCACGCAGGAGCTATTTAAAAATATGAGGAAAAGTTCAAACCGAATATTTTCGCTTAATTTTTCTTGTAGAGTGATTTGATTATTTTAGCCCATGATGCATGTCTAGGCGAGGCAAAAGTCAGATCAATTCAGAGATCAAAAAAAATATTTTTCAAGGCAGACCAGCATACGCGCGACATGGTGGGCACTGGCTTTGCATCACGCAATATGTTGGGGGCGATGGAGTTTGACTATCTTTTTTTTTTTTCTTTTTTTTTGTAAATGGAGTTTGACTATTTTTACTGTATAGGATTGCGATAAAGTTTTGGTATTCCTGTATTATAGATCAACCCATTTAATCGTATTAATTTTTGCTTTAAAAATTTATCGGTGACATAACAATGATCATCCTTATATGCATAGCCACAACTTTCTAAATCTGAATCTTCCCATATCAAAAAAAATAAAGCAATTAATATTTCTAGAAAAACATTGCCCCAAAAAGCCAATTAATTATTCTTACTATTTTTAAATAAATATCAGTGCACAAATTTTAATTTCTATATTATTCTTGTAATACACATCAACTCATTTAATTCTATTTGTTTTTGGAAAAACAATTAGGACAAATTACAAAGCCACCTTGTATTAATTAGGTGCTTTTCTTAAACACCGCCTTTTACTTTTAATTGGAATAATTAACTCGCTTGTAATTGTACTATAATATTTCAATAACTAAACATATTTAATAATTTTTAGACAAAAATACCCTTATCCCCAACCTATCACCACTGAAATTTTACCTTAAAAAAAGTATTGTTAGCTAGGGTTGAACTGAAGTAACCATTAGTGTAGCAGCACGTGGTATAGCATTGTGGTGGTAGGTTGGCAACTCTTAGTTTTCACTGTAAATTGCTTCAGAGCTATTATTATACATTTGATCGTTGCTTCATGTGCATGTATTTATGATTCACCTTTCAAGTGAAAAGCAAGAAAAAAAAAAAAAACAAATATCATGTTTGCACCATATTTGCTGGCAATTTCACCGGCAACCAAGCCACCTCTGCTAGCATTAGACACCTGTCCTCCGCATTTGCTAGAACCAACATCACCTCCATTCGACTCTTCAGTCTTCACCATCATCGCCAATGTCTCCAGCAAGCACCTCACCGATGGGGGTTGGGGGCAAGGATATTTTTGTCTAATTATTAAATATGTTTAATTGTTAAAATAATGGAGTTAATTGTTTCAATTGAAAGTAGAAGATTATCTTTTAAAAAAGCACCTAAGTACAAGGTAGCTTTATGTAATTTGCCATAAAATTTGTCTTTTGAATGGATATAGTATAGTGACATTTAACTGAAATGATTGTGTTTTGTAATGAAAAAAACTTGTTACAAAATCAAAATTTATCATGAGATACAGTAAGACGTTACAAATAACAAAAAATTAATTTAACTATTAAGTGAAATACTATTATTTCACTTAAAATGATATAATATTATATCCTTAAAAAGAATAAATATTTTTTCTTATATTTTTATTTTAAAATTTTATCGGTGGCATAACAATGATCCTCCTTGTGTGCAAAGCCTCAATCTTCCCATGACAAACAAATTAAAGCAATTAATATATCTAAAAAATATAGTGGCCAAAAAGTTGATTAATTATTCTTACTATTTTTAAACAAAAAAAAATCATTACACAAATTTTAATTTCAATAATATTTCTTATTTTCAAAATTAAAAAATGTTAATTATTTTCATTCGATAATTTATTAAGTAGCATGAAAGGTATTAAAGAAATAAAAGAATAATTTAGCAAATATAAACTTATTTTTATAAAATTAATAGTATATAAAAAAATTTCAATCATGATACAAATAAGTATTTTAAAATAAAATAAATAATATAATTTTTTATTAATTAATTTTTTCCCTCAATTGTCAGAAGATAAAAAAAGCGAAGACAACTCGAAGGTAGCTTACTTGGCAAGTGAGGATAATGTTTAAATCTTTGGGAGTTAGAGAAAAATTGCCTTCCTTGGATGACAATGATGATCAAATGCACCATCCGTTTCAATAAAAAACTAGCAATAGGGCCACACCGCGCGAGAAGGTTGAGTGAGATACTTCCACGTTACATGAAGAAAACAAAAAACAAAAAAAAAACGAAGACACACAAGGATTCGGCCAGAATCTTGACTTATTCTGGTTAAGCAGGAAGAGGGGCAAATTGGGAGTTACGCACCCCACCCTTCCTAAGGAAAAACTGAGTTGTCTAAGAGAGGGACAATGGGAATCATCCACCCGAAACGACCGGGCTGCAAGCACCCTCCTTTACAACTCCTCACTCGGACAAATTTCAAAATTTAAATCTACCACATAAACATTTCAAGTCCGAAAGTGCCTATAAAAGCACCAACCAACTTGTTCCACTGAACACAAAGGTAGAAAGAAAAGCGCAGAGCAGAGAAGAGAGAGAGAGAGAGAGAAAGATAATGGGGGGTTGGGCTATAGCGGTGCATGGTGGCGCTGGTGTGGACCCTAATCTCCCACCTCAGCGCCAGGAAGAAGCGAAGCAACTCCTTGCTCGCTGTCTCAATCTTGGCATCTCTGCTCTTCGTTCCAATGCTTGTGCAATTGATGTCGTTGAACTTGTCGTATGTCTTGCCACCTAATATCTACTCTCCCTCCCTCTTTTCCATATGTCCTCGTTTTACCGTTAAGATACTTTCGTAACGAATCCCCACATTCGTGGGATAATATTTGTCTCGCAATTCTCATGCATAACTTGTTCGGCATGCATGTATCTTTTCTAATAATATTAATCGATATATAATATATTTTATTCATTGGTGAATCGGTGTTTTGTTTTGTTTTGTTTGATTTTGGTATGACGCGCGGTAATCGTGTTTGTGACAGGTGAGGGAACTGGAAACGGATCCCCTGTTCAATTCTGGTCGTGGATCTTCCCTGACAGCAAAGGGAACAGTGGAAATGGAGGCTAGCATAATGGATGGTACCAAGAGAAGATGCGGTGCCGTATCGGGCCTTACCACCGTGAAAAACCCCATTTCACTCGCTCGGCTAGTCATGGACAAGTCACCACATTCCTACCTTGCCTTCTCCGGCGCTGAAGACTTCGCCAGACAACAGGTTCATTATCCTTCCCATTTTCATTCCATTTTTTCCGCCTCCCAAAAAGTTAAGAAAAAAAAAAAAAAAAGTTGTCACTGATGACGTCTTGTGCTCTCGCTTATTTTGCATCTTTTCTTTCCTTTCTTCTTCCAAGAATGAATCTTAACTTATATACAAAAAAAAAAAGAATGAATCTTAACAAAGCGCTTTCACGTGACTTCGTTTCATGGAAACCTTTATATATAATAAGGCGCAAATATTTTGGTATAAGTTTAATACAGTATCAATTATATATACTATCAAATAAAAATTAATGATTGGGTTCTTGATAGGGCGTGGAGGTTGTGGAGAATGAATATTTCATCACTGCTGATAATGTTGGCATGCTAAAACTGGCGAAGGAAGCAAATACAATTCTGGTAAGCTTATAATAATAAGAACTTATTTTACTTATTGCCGAGGCATTTTATTGTGTTTTTTATTGTTGCAGAATTAACAATATAGATTTCATGTTCACTAAAGAATCTTTTGTTGATTGGGCGATGCAGTTTGATTATAGGATCCCTACAAATGGGTACGACTCGTGCGGCGCTGGAGTTGAAAGTCCACTTCAAATGAATGGACTGCCAATCTCCGTGTACGCGCCGGAGACGGTTGGGTGCGTGGTGGTGGACAGCGAGGGAAGATGTGCGGCTGCCACGTCGACAGGAGGACTGATGAACAAAATGAGCGGTCGGATTGGTGACTCACCCCTCATAGGGTGTGGCACGTACGCGTGTGAGGTTTGTGGGGTCTCATGCACTGGTGAGGGTGAGGCTATCATACGCGCGACTCTGGCGCGTGAGGTGGCGGCTGTCATGGAGTACAAAGGCCTGGGTCTTCAACAGGCAGTGAACTTTGTCATCAAGCACCGACTCGATGAAGGGATGGCTGGGCTTATTGCTGTGTCTAACACCGGTGAAGTGGCTTATGGGTTCAACTGTAATGGCATGTTCAGAGGGTGTGCCACTGAGGATGGGTTCATGGAGGTGGGAATCTGGGAGTAAATGTTGCCTTGAGTTGATGTTTTTCTTAATAAGGGTTGGGCCTGTCAGTGGTCACTAGGTTGTTTCTCTTCTAAAATTAGCTACTTTCTGTTTTTTCACTGGTAGAAATGTCAAATAACTAGATGTTTCTCTTTTTTTATTCCAAATAAAACAAAAGGCCCGTGTCCCATCCAAACACACCTCTTGCTTTTCTATTCTCGGCTTATTCATTATTATTCTTTTTTCATAGCGCTTTTTATTTATAGGTTGTTATTTGTAGATGTTATCAACCAATCTAAATCGATTCAAAATATAATAATTGAATCGAAAAATTAATAACTGAATTAATCAAAAATCAAAAAATTGAAAGCAAAAAAAATTATAAATTTTAATTAGATTGGATCGGTCAATTTTCAATTTGACTGACGAAAATCGATTTAATATATTAATTTTCCTCTTTTGATCTTTCCCCAATCATAACACACAAGGTCAATTAACCCACCAGCTAAACTGCAAAAAAAAATTAATCACTCCCCATTAGCAAAATTTCATCTACCAAAAAAATTAGGTCAGATAATTTTACTTTTAAAATCAATCCAATCCAGATCACAACCGTTACAATTTCCAATCTAACCTTTGCAACTCGATATTATAGTGCGTACGACAGACTTCGAGATGGATAATTACATCTTTTAATCACAGGATTACAATTTTTTTTATAAATTAAATTTTGTTTGATTAGTTAATATTTTTGGAGATCTGCACGTTATCATAACAAATTAATGATTATACGTTCGATAATATCATACCAAAATCAAAGTCATAAATATATTTTATTGATACTTAAACGACTTGTTGTATATAGTATATACTAATACCAATTTTAAGTAATGAATCTCGCCAATTAATGCTCATGGATCTTTTTAATTAATTAAAAAGAAAATATTATATCTTTCAATAACTTTAAAATATTAAACTGTTTTATCTACTCATTCCAGTTGGAAAGCAATATTTCCAACCCTTTGGATATTAAATGCGAATTTATCTTTTTTATGATTTTTTTAAATTTTTACCTATCAATTTTTTTATTTTCGTAGATTTTTTTATTTTATTTCTAAGAAACTAATAGATTGTTAGGTAAATATTAAGAAAATTACTATTTTAAAAAAAACTTAATTTCAAAAAATGTAAAATATTAATATTTTAGAAACATTTCAATTCATTAAAAATTAGATAATATTGAACAATTTTTTAAAATATATAAGAATTAACAACTAAATTATGAAAATTCAGGATTTTTATTCCATATGTTAATAAGATCCAGTTTTGATGAACAATTATCTTACAAAAAACTAAGTTGTTAGGCGAATGATATTTCTCTAACACAGCTCCTCACATAATTTAAATGCTAAGATTATAGATTACCAAAAAAAAAATGCTAAGATTATTAGAAATGACTTCCATATACAAGAGGGGGTGAACTAAGTATTACAAGATTTTTGCAAAAGCCCTATTCTAGTTTTTAAATGATCATTTCAAGCACACTTTGATACATGAAAAGTTAATCAATGCCTTCAAACAATCCATAATATATAATATGTCACAATTATAAGATCTATGCTAGCATATACAAGATATCAATGAAACAATTAAAGAGCTAGAAATGAAGAGTTTATAGTTTAGAAATTTGCAAACACAATATATTCTGGTTCAGTCACTACCATTTGTGACCTACATCCAGCTGAAGTCGTTCAATCAAATTTTTCACTAACGGTCAAACTTCAAAGGTGCTTTATAAACCGCTATAATTTTTCAAGACTTCGGGTTCTTGAATACCTTACAACCTTCAAGTTTACTTGGTAACCTTACAATTTTCTCCAAATTTTCGTAGGTATTTGGCTACCTTTCAAACTCAATGAGTTTCACAATACTTTCAACTCAAGAATACAAAAAAGAAGTGTTTGTATATACATATACACTCTCAAAGTATGGATATACAACTTGAAGTACTATGGATATATGAATTTTCAAGATATAAGTTCAAATATGTTGATCTTTGAAAAATATGAAAAAATATGCAAATGATAATGTAGAAGCTCTCAAAGTATGCTTAAGATATGTAAGAATGATGATCAAATCGTTTTAGGGTCTTTGGGAATGTATATATAGTGATTTTACCCAAAATTAGTCGTTTATAGACATTATTTTTTATTTCTGGTTAGTGGTAATCGATTACCTGCATATGGTAATTGTAGGTAATCAATTAACAACCGTGTTAAAGGTTTAAAATTCGACAACAAGAATATTATTTCATATTTTGAGCATAACTATAGTTATTCTTGTCGGATTGATGTGATCTTGGTCTTGTTGAAAAGAGAAGAGCGAGATCTACAACTTCTGTGGAACACAAGATCCGTATCTATTATCTTGGATAAGAAAAATTGTCTGGAAGATAGAAACCAAATTATGCAGCAAATTTGAGTTTAAAAGCATTCCAACTATTGCTTCCAACTACTTTTTATGAAAGAACTTGATTGATAAATATGTTTTGAAGTTATAAAACTTGTCAAGATCTTTTCCATAAGTTTTTCAAATTTCTTTCAAGTATATAAAAGGTTATGGATTATGCAATTTGAAAAACATATTTACTTTGAGAGAAACTTCGAGCTCATGCAATGCAATCTACCATATACACAGTGGCGAATCCAGGAATTTGATGAAGGGTGGGCACCTCCGCACCTGAAATGCAAAAAAATGGGATCTAACCTTTGTGGTTTCCATCACCAAGAATAACTACTTTATTTTTAGGGGGCATTTGGAAGATAAGAATTTTTGTTTATCCGAGAATTTTGATTTTCAGAAATATAATTTTTATATTTAGTTTATGATAATATCTGAAAATTAAAAATTAAAAAAATTCAGTTTCCCGAGAATCCTGGAGAATGACTCGTACCAAACGGCCCGGCCCCCTAGGTTGAGATTTGACTCCAGGCTGTGACAAAGAAGAAAGGAAGTAAACAACAAATAAATTGCTAGACTTGTAGCAAAGGAAAGAAAAGTCCAAGTAGCAAAAGTTTAGAATATTATATTATATAGAAGAAAAAATCGGTAAGTGAAGTCTATATATAGGTGTATGTTGTAGTTTGATATGTGTGTAAGTGGGATTAGGAATTAGAAAAGACTATAAAGAAAAAGTGAGAAGAAAAACACAAAGTGCCGTAGCACTTAAATTAGAAAAGATTGAGATAGATGTGTGATAAGAAAGTGAGAGATAGAAGGAATAAAAATTTTAAGTGAAGGGTATTTTGGTATTTTCATATCAAAATTTAAGGGTGGGCACTTGCCCCCCCTTCTCCCTTACCTGCGTCCGCCTCTGCATATACAATTTCAATCAAATCTAAGTCCTAAAAGTGTATTCTAATAAGGAATTTGACTTAGCTTCTTGTGTTGATTCTTGGATCTTGATCCTCCCTTAAAATTAATGCTTTGACTTTTTCGATACTGCTATGCTTGACACTCCAAAGCAAAGGTTAACAACAGATACCATTTAAGCACATTTCCAAGCATGGAATAGGTTGATATACAATATAAGAGATGTATCATATTATCAACCATGGAAAATGATAAATGAAGCACAATGTGCTTGAATTCAAATCATAGTTCAAGCAATGTATGATCATCATCAAAACATATTGAAGAAATTTTAGATAAGCAATTATCATGTAAGCCATGTAAAGTCAAGTAAATAACTCAAATATGAACACATGCCAATTCAAAAGATATAATTTTTTTACAAAGAAATACTTGAAAAATCATGGAGGTATCATTTTGAGCATATGATTATCCGAGCAAAAATATAAGTGTATACTTTTAAGTTCAATCTCAAAGAGATTATCATGACATTGGAACTAATGCGTATACCTACTAGCATAAAATTAAATTTAAGGCGTATTGTTAGAATAACATGACATTAGATCTGTAACAGTTCGTTGTACACCGGTATTGTTAGCATTAATTATGATATTAAGCGCAGTTACAATCACAACAATTCATTTATAAAAATGCGAGTAAACTTTTTCCGTTTATTACGCGAGCATTTAAAACAATAATAAAGCGTGATAATAAAAATTGTGACCGTAACTGTAAACTCTTTGAAAAATAATTATTTAATCTATCTATATATCATAAAATACTTCTCTCAAGTCACTAAGGGGTTCACATAAACCCACTTAGCTAAAATCTCACTTTTACGTTTTCTACCTACCCGAACATGGTTCGATCTTTGAATTTCTGCGAACAAACCGCATTCTACAAGCCTTTCCTCTTTTAGTATTTTATTCTAAACTTAATTACCTTTCTAGGAAGCTATCACACGAGTCATAAAGTTCTCGTTTGCTCTGGATATCGCCGTTTGGAGTTGGACAAGCAAATCTGCCAGCCAACCTCAAACCGGCTCCAAACAGCCTTTAATCAATCAATTATTCTGGAACACTCAACGAATTGCTATCAAATTTTTATACAATAAACTAGACACCTCAAGATTCATTTTGACATATCATACACTTAATTTGACCAAGAAAGGAAGCGAGAATAAAATTTCCATAAACTACCAGAAACAACCCCTGCACAGGTGCGTTCTGAACAGTCCATCTTCAATGGCTTCTACAGGGCTGCGTGAAATCCAGAAAATTCCCAAATTTTAACACAAGATAGAGGACATCTCAATCTATAAAATAGGATATGGAACGTCCCTATCGGACCTCTGTGGAGGGAGATATGCTCTCCCAAAGTTCACCTAAATTCTGCCAATTTCTAGAAATTTCGCTAGAGTTTCCTTTGTTTTTCCAATAAATCCCAACTTTGCAAATGTGTTATCTAACCTCAATTTTGTACCTAATAATCATGGGTGGCACACAAGGACCAGCAATGCCTTGGTGCTCTTTCAACCCTTCACACTTTATATTCAATTTGCTCAAAATACATAATCAATGCTTACTTTTTCAATTTAACTAATTTCAATCACAAGGTCCAATTGCATGCATTCTTTGAATCATAAAACATCATTCATATCCTAGAATAGGCCTATTGTCCTTTCATCATATTACATACTTCAATGTTTCATCAATTCTCCATATTACAATTTACAACTTCTCAAATAGACATATTACAATTTACATTGCCATAACTTTCAAATGAACATAATAATCAACCACTA